TCATTAGAAATGGTAAAACCTTGAAGAACTCGTTCACGACCATATAACCAAACTTGCTTGGTGTCTAGCACAGTCTGAGACGGGGCTGTCATTTTACTATTCAAAAACTCATTTAATTCTTTCACTTCCTTAAAAATGAACTGCCATTCTGGGTCGTCTTCTTTGAAATCTTTGGAAGATAGACATCGGATTCCTTTTATGTCTTCCAACAAACCCCTTATGCGAAGAAAATCAGCAACTTCTTTCAATAGACTTGGATAATCACTAACATAGTAAGTAATAAAATTCAACTGGGAAACTGCTCTAGACCACCTGCGCTTCTTGAAGAATCTCGACCTCGTCTTCCGGATGTGAGCAGCCAAGTACCAGTCGGAGGAGATGAGTAATACAATAGATATGATATCCAACACAAAGGCCCAGATTAGCAAACCATAGGTTAGCCACACGTCTAACTGCTTCAGTAGATAATACTTCCTAAATAAAAAGAAAGAGAACAACGCTACCGAGATGCAACACATAGTAATGAACCTGAAAATGTATCCCATCATGCAACCAACCACAGGCAACTTGGTGTGAAGAACCTCATACAAGAGGCTTAGCTCAATTTCCATTATTTGCAACACTTGAGATGAATCTCCCACTTGGAGAAAGGTTTCTCTGATCTCAGAGCATTGATCTGGATATAAAAGAGGGCCTACAAGCATCATCTTGATTGTTCCGAAGTGGTGAACTGCAGTCCATAACAGCATTTGCTCCTGACTTTGCTCAAATTTTTCCATCTTTTGGAATTCTGCTGGAACTGGAATTTCATCTCCCCATTCACTAGGTAACCAATCATCGCCAAGATGGTCAAAGCTTGCAAGATAGAAGGCACGGTTCCTTTCTGCATATTTGATTATTCCTGCCATTAACACTAGTATGGTTGGGAGCCAAAGCTTGTTCTCTGGAAGGGACTTAACAAAGACATAGGCAGTAGAGCCAACTTGAAATCCAAGCCCAAGCAAGTGCCTAATCCAAAATTCATTATCTTCCAGAGCAAAGGAAGTAATGGTGTCAGGACCGCCAAGGTGCAAGAGAAGAAAGGGTGCCCAGAAGACATGGACGTCACTCCTTTCAGTCGGGGTACTTTTGCTTTGTTCGCTTAAGATTAATCCGATTGTAAACCCAGCAACCCAATCAGCTAGCAAGTATGCGAACCAGATCAACACGTCAAGGCATTTCCCCCATTTTCCACCTCTCCATTTTCTATATCGTGCAAACCAAATTAAGAAGATCTGCAACGAGAGGCTTACAATAACGAATACTCTGATGCTCCATGTGCCCCATACCTTCTTGGCAGTTTCAATAACAGGGGGCCACATTCTCTTCTTTTCTTAATTTCTTCTCTATTCTTCTACGAAGAGAAGGATTGAGCTAAGAAAGTGGAGGGAACAAGTTCGCATAAAAGCAAATGAAATGAAACGGTAGGAGTGATGACGAATGGATGGAGCAGAAGTCTAGTGTGAGAGGAATCAAAGTGAAACCCTATGTTTGATTACGTACATAAATTTAAGAATTTTAATAGACAAATTAGGAAGTGTGGTGAAATAAAGAAAATTGTTTTTAAAAATTAGAGGATGAGTAAGAAGAAAGGAAAGGGGATCAAAGAATCGAACCATTAATTTTTAAAGAGCGACATGAAGCTTAATTATGGTTGCTTATGAAGAGAATATGTATGAAATGAAAGAAAAAATGATTTTCTAGTGAAAAGCCCCTTTTTTTTTCTTTTTTCTTTTTTTGAGAGAGAGAGAGAAGACAAATGGTGGAAGAATTTTGAGAGGTCAAATGGGCAAAGGTATGGCAAAGCCTATAATCCATAACTTTTATATCTGATGCGATGTATTTTCACAAAATTTTAAAAAGTTTTTTTGGTAAAATAAAATTTCAGAAGATTAATGTTGATATTGTGTTATTCTTTGAAAACCCAAAAATTAAGTTATCCATAATTTGTTCAGGTTCTCCTAGAAATTCAGAGTTAGGTTTCATGGGAAACTCGATTAAAATAAAAAAGATGAAGACAGGGGATGAGGGAGGAGGGGATAGGGAGAAGAAGAAGGTGGAAACTGGTGAGACAGATGGTTCTAGTTGAATTTCCTGTGGAGAGCAATGGTTGGTGCTGAGGAATTGTATTTTTGTTTAAAACAATTAATTAAAAGGGTTAAATATTTGATTAATTAATGGGCTTTTCTATGATGTATCTTCGGAGCATATGATAAATATATAATAAACATATTTTTGTTAATTAATTTTTATTAGAAGTGTAAATATTAATTTTAATTTAATTTAATTTAATTAATTAATTAATTAATTACAATTATTAACATATCAACGATA